AATCACTAACTCGTGCTTTGAACAAGGGAAGGAGACAGAGTTACTCCAAAACCCACACTCCATGCAAGCTCCTCTCTCTAGGACAAGATTATTCAACTTTTGCAGATGCAATTCACATTTCAAACAAATATATACATAAATATATTTCCATATGTTTCTGTTAAAAATAAAGTGGCATTATTTGAGCATGTATCTGTGCATGTGTCAGTGTGTTCACATATGCATGTCTATGTGGATAAACAGCATATAAAAATACAGGTTATTTCCCAACAAACTGTATCCTAAACTGTTGCTCAATTTTCCATGACTAGGTCTCAGATTTTTATTCCCCAAACCCCTTTGAAGGGCTAAAAAGATGCTAGGAGCCAAAATGTTTTCTCTGTCTAAAGTCTTAGTTCATTAACAAGAGTCTTAAGTGAATTCTAAGAAGAAGGGAAAACAATTCTGAGCAAAAGAGAAAATGTGATTCAACTTTTGGAGCCACTGAAAATACTAAGTAAACCAGAAAGTTCCCCACCATCACCTCATTTATTCAGGTTTACCCCATTCTTCCCAGCCCCCTCTTTTCTTTTAACCACAAGCCATTGTTTTAAAGGTGAGCTCATGGTCAAAACAATGAATCTTATCTAACTGGGGCTGTCAAAGAAAGAACCTCTGGCCCAGAGTTATCAGGGCTCTTGTTTACTATGATCTCATAGTCAAATGGTCAGGCTTAGAACTGGTCAGAGAGTCGTGCAGTCGCAAGTCAGGAAGGTGACAACAGTCTCGGCTTTCTGAATTCTCTGTAGAGAAGACCAAGCAGGAAATGCTGGTGAGTGGACAAAAGTTCCATAAAGAGAAAAGAAAAAGACCTTACCAGAAAGGGAGAACAGATGTGGGCTTCTATTATGTGTCAGCATTGCTATGAACCATGGTACAGCTCAATAAATATTATCCAAGGTGAATTGAAAGATCTCTATCAGCCTGAACAAAGGCACAGACAGAACTCAAATTTCTATTAAGGGCACATGTTTGCAAAAGAAAGGATAATGAGGCAGAAGAATTCTATCTGAATACACTTGACTTTGGGTTGACCTTCCTGTCCACAGGTTTTGAGGATGAGCTAGGAAGAATGTTCTCTAAAATAGGGAGATAAAGGCCCACAGAAACTAAAAGCTGGAAGGAAGACAAATAAAGTGCCCCAAGACCAGAGGTGTGAGTGACTCCTGAAAGTAGGACAACTGGCCGAGGGTCCCGTACTTTTTTACTTGAAGCCATTTTGCCTCCGTATGTTGTTATGGGGCCAGGACTCCTAGTGGCTTATTAAGGCACACAAGCCTTCATGCAAGAGGATAATCAGTCCAGTTAAGTGTGAGAAAAAGCCAAATGAAACAGCCACAATTTCCACCATGAAAACATCAAGTCAAGGGTTACAAGAAATCTCTAGAGGTCTTTCCAGACTGACTTTGTAGATAAGAAAGATTCTGTGGAGAAATGGGCAGTATCATATACCACTATGAGGAGTATAAACCATTAAAATATTTTCAGAGGATACTTGGCAATATGCATTAAAACCCTCAAAATTCTTTATACCTTTTATACCCTTTGCTCCATCAGGGATAACTGGAAGGAGAAAGGACCTAAAAGGGGAAGCCTAAAGGTGGCTCCCTAGGTCCCCCCATCTAATGGGTAGGGTGCAGAAAAGAACAGATGGGTACCTCTTCATAGAACCCAGTGACAAAGTGGTGATACCAGTAGTAAATGCCAGTAAGAATCAAGACAACCACTTATGAACCAAAGGCTGCTCCTGCCCCCATAAAGATATACAGCTGCCCTTGAATACCATCTCATCAGGGAGAAAGGAGCCACCATACAAGGTCTTTGTAGAATATTTGGAGATTCAGACCTTCTCAGAGGTGCGTTCATTCTGCATTTTCCCAGCCCTGACCTGGGACCTTATTCCCTGACTTTATTTAAGAGTGGTCTGGGGGAGTTACATGGAACAGAGGGACAGTATTTAGTCACTCTCTCCAGTGCTCCTCCTGGGGTGAAATGTGTGGGTTCAGCGTTCAGAAAGATGAGTCTTCCTCTACCTTGGTTTCTCAGCTTCTTGACCTCTTCCTCTCTCCTGACATGGTCCTCCACCTACTTTATCTACTCACTACCGTGATCATACTCTAGACCTTATCATTCTCACTGACATCCTCCCTAATCTCAATTCAAGTCATCCACTCACCTACTACTCCCCTCTCTCTTTCCAGCTCTTTCCCTCTAATGCACTCCAAATCCACCAGCCCACAGATACCTAAAATACTGTGAGCCTATCACATCTGGACTGCCCTTCACCTGTGCCATGCCCTTACTTCCTCCTAAGCCAGCTTAAATTCCATGATCAATTATTATAATCACTCCCTCTCATGGATGCTTAATCCCTTGCCTCATTTTTTAAAAAATTTTTTTAATTTCACCTTATTAACTGGTAAAAACCTAGCTTTGGCTAAACCCACTTCTTAGCTTCCTCTGTGTCTGCACTTGGGCAACTGAGTGTGGCTAGAGAAAACCATAATCATGTCAAATGGTTTCATTTCCAGTTCATGATCAGTAACATCAAGGGCACACTTCTGCTCACTCTCTCCTTAAACTTCCTTCTGTACCCTCATTCTTATGTGATGCCCCTAATTCTGACTTTGCTGAAAAAAGTAACAGTAACCAGAAGAGAAATTCCACCACCACACCTACCAGTCTTCTAGCCTCCATATATGTGTATGCAGTATAATAAAAAATAAGGTGAATATTACTTTTTAAATCTTTACAATAAAAGACACATTGTCTTTAATCATTCTCAAAATACTTTCCCTTGCTTGGAGCATACTTACCTCATCATTCTTGCCACTTTCTGAAGCAGTTCTGGAAGTCCTCTTTCATGAGTGATTTTACTTGCTGTGTTCTGATATCCTGATTTGATTCAAAACATTTCTCTCTTATGGTCACTTTGAATCTAGGGAAGAGTCAGAAGTCCCACGGTACCAGATCTGGTGATTAAGGTGGATGGGACATACCATCATATTTTTACAAGATGGCCTCTCTATTAGATGGCACTTGGCAGGGCAGCAGCATTTATGGTATTTTGACAGAATGAGGCCCCAACTAAGACCTCTCCCCAAGCTCCAGTGGACAGCCAGGGCCTACTTGCCAGCCATGCTGGGAGCCATCTTGAAATTGGGAAGCCCTGCTGTGCCACCTGGAACAGAGATCAGGTGTCCTCACCAACCCCTGCCCAAACTGAAGACTTAGGAACAGAAAGATGATTGTGGTTGTAGCCACTAAGTCTTGGCTGTGGTTTGTCACAGCATTATAAAGAACTTCCCCAAAGTGAGACCCTTACTCACTCCCCTTTTGCCCCTCACTGTCTTTGCTGTCTCCTGAACACCCACAAAAGCTCTTTTCTCAGAGTCTTTTCACTTGCTGTTTCCTTCTACACTCCATATACCCACAGCCTCTCTCTCTCAACCCAATAGGTTGTTAATCACTTGTTATCTTTCCAGGAAGACCTCCCTCCTAAACTGGTAAACCACAGGAGCCCCCCTCTGCTTTCCCCTTTTCACTTTATTTTTCACTGGAATAGTCAACACTAACATACTGCATGATTTACTCATTTGGATTGTCTGTTGTGTGGCAAGCTCACCGGAAGGTATAGATCCTCCCCATGGTGACAAGAACCCTGTCTGGATTGTTCCCTTCTGACTCCCTTTTGCCTAGAACTATGTCTTCCACATGGTACCACTGAACAACTGGTATCTGCGGTTCACTGCAGAAGTACAGCAGACATTGTAAGATTGCTCCCTCTTGGCTTTCACCTTCCCTTCCACCCTATCACCTCTCTGGGTCTTGCTCTTCCCTCTTAGTACTTTCCACCTTCCTGTTAGGCTAAAGCTGCATGTTTCCTCACATCTCAGACAATCAGAGGCCATCATAAGTTATCCTCCATATCACTTTCTCCTTCCTGGTGGCAGGAAATTCCTTCACATCCTAGCCTGTGCTCCTTCCATACGTGGGATTATTTTGAAACTTTATATTTAGATCTCCAAACTTCATTTTTGCTAGCAAAAATATAGTAAAAAATTCAGCTACATAATAAATGAGCGAGAACAGAGCGAATGAGGTGCTTCAGATATCTGTTGATGTGTAAAACCCTCCCCAAATTTAGAGGCTTAAAATGACAGTCACTTGCTTATTGTTCATGAATCGGCAATTTGAGCAGGGCTCCGTGGGGACAGCTTGCTTCTGCTCCACAAGGCATTCACTGGGGCAAATCAGTTGGGGGATGGATTAGCTGCTGTCATCACTGTGCTTTTAGAATTTAGATTACTCTTCTCGACTTTGACAAATGGCTTTCAAATTTTATTGGACTTCATTCTCAAAAAAATTTCTAATTTGAAATTCAGAGATGTACCCCTCAGTTCTTAGGCTATGTGGCTACATCTCTGTGAAGCAAAGATTTGCATGAACCAGCAGTGGAAAAGCTCAGGATACACAGCTTAGGGCAATAGAAAATTCATCAAGTTAATTGCTCAAATAATAATATATTGTACTTATTGCATTTTTCATTCATTAACTCATTTAATATTTTGATTATGAAAATGAGAATGTTTGTTATATGTCTATTTTTAGAGTACTTGCCTGACATATAAGTACTTTAGTAAATGGTTAGTAAATTAATTTTCAGTAATAATAATAGCTAGGCCGGGAATTTAGCTCAGTGGTGCCATCAGCTGCCTCTCAATCGGAAGGTCCCGAGTTCGATCCCTGGTACCAAAAAAAAAAACCAGTAGAAAAGATCATTAAAACTGAGTCGGCTTAAAAAGAATAATAATAGCTAACATTTATAGTGGCTAAGTATATTGTTAATATTTGGTGAGTCATATTCTTAGCACTTTATGTGAACTACCTTTCTTTTTTCTTTTTTTTTTTTTTGGTACTGGGGATCGAACTCAGGACCTTGTGCCTACGAAGCAGGCGGTGGAACCACTGAGCTAAATCCCCGTCCCAGAACTACTTTTCTTAAAACTTGGAACAGATCAATGAGATACCGTTATCATTCCTGTTTTACAGGTGAGTAAACTGAGGCACATTATGGACCTTCTGTGAAATGAAAAGTCCATGATTCAAGCCTATGCAGTCCACTGGGGTCCACTGTCCTAATCATTACACAAGCACAGGGTGATTTGGAGATGGCATAGGGAGGCATTGTAAGCCCACTTTGAGGGACAAAGGATGGTTCCCAAAGAAGATACTTTCTAAGGACAATTGGGAATGGAGTCAGATAGGAAATGGAGGCAGGGCTTTCTTGGCCAAATTTGCAAGATTGCCTGATATGTTCAGGCAATATTCTAGGGGAAGAGTATTCAAAGAAAAATAACAATTGGTCTTTGACTTACAGACAAAAAAGATAAACAAATTGTTAAAACAAAAGTTGCTAAAAGCTAATATGGTTAGTCATATCGAAGACATAGGAAGCAGGAATCAAGCCAAGGTCAATAGCTTAGGAAGAGCTTCCCAGAGAAAGTGACATTTGAGGTATTGTTGAAGGATGCATAAAAGTTTGCCAGACAAATATAGAGTGGGAGGGGCACGTCTGGAAGAACAAATGACATATTTGGTGAAAGAATAAAAGACCTATGAGACTAAGGAAACTTTTAATGTACTGAGTGAATGAATTATTGTATTTTTCTTTCTTTAGTATTTCCAGAAAAGAGTTTTTCATGTTACACAGCATTGCTTCACACCCCTTACAAGCAGAAGGTTGTGTTTGACCTTGAACCTTTATTTTTCTGTAATACAGACAACCTCACACACACTGCTGTCTAACCACTATCCATTCAAACTCACTGCCTGTGTCATTCACACGGTACCCATCACTGGAAAGAGATCAGGAAGCTAGCTTTCCTTTCTTCTCAGAGGGGAGACATGGGGCTCCCTCTGTGGGCACTTCACTCTGTGAGCAAGCAGTACTTACGGAAAGCCAGCCTGGCATGAAACAGGGCCAACGCTACAGGAAATTCCCCAGAGTGTTAAGTATTTTCCCATCTTCCAGAGACACCACCATCAGTCTATAGGGCCCACTTTTCAACTCCCAAATCACAGGGCTAATCCCCTTTCAGCACTTCAATGTCCCCATGCCACAGGAGTTAAGGACCTGTGTTTTGAAATCACAAGGATAAGGTAGAGGAAAGTATTATCTGCAACAGAGATTTGCTTTCCATGGCTGACAGACACCTCTGTATACTCTCTCTCTGTTTTTATATTTTTCCGTTTTATTTGATGGTCTTGACTCCTCAAAATGAATCCCACAAAAGTTTATTTTTTCCATACAATCCCCACCCCAAACCACCATAACCTATGAAAGCCTCCCCTCCCCTCTATCCCTCCCTCTCCTCCCTGACCCCTCATCGCCTTCTCCCTCCTTCCCTTCCTCCCATTCTCCTTCCTCCCCACCTCCTTCTCCTCTTCCCCTCTCTTCCTGTTCCTCCTCTCCTCTCCTCCTCCTCTTCTTTCTTCCTCTCCTTTTTCTTCTTCTTCTTTTTCTTCTTTTTCTCCTTCTTCCTCTTCCTCCTCCTCCTCTTCTTCCTCCTCCTCCTCTTCCTCCTCCTCTTCCTCCTCCTCCTCTTCTTCTTCCACTTCCTCCTCCTCCTCTTCTTCCTCCTCCTCCTCCTCTCCTTCTTCTTCCTCTTTTCTCCTCCTCCTCTTCCTCCTCCTCCTCTTCTTCTTCTTCCACTTCCTCCTCCTCCTCTTCTTCCTCCTCCTCCTCCTCCTCTCCTTCTTCTTCCTCTTTTCTCCTCCTCCTCTTCCTCCTCCTCCTCCTCTTCCTCCTCCTCTTCCTCCTCCTCCTCTTCTTCCTCCTCCTCCTCCTCCTCTCCTTCTTCTTCCTCTTTTCTCCTCCTCCTCTTCCTCCTCCTCCACCTCCACTTTCTCCTTCTCTTTTCTCTTTTTTGTGGTAGTGGGGTTTGAACCCAGGGTCTTCACACTGAGCTACAACACCAGCTCCTTTTTTTTAACAGGTCTTGAACTTGTGTTTTTCCTCCTTTAGCTTCTCAGAGTGCTGAGGTTTACTAGTGTGCAGCAACCGCCCCCCACCAAGCAGTCTCATTTTTGTATAGACTGCTCCCCACAAGGCCAGCATAGTATCTTGGATAAAGGTAAGCGCTCAGAAAACACCAGTTCTATGTATGACTGAATGAAATCATGACTAAGCTTAAAAGATCACTTAGAGGGAATATTAGAAGTTTAAAATGGGAAAAATTTAGAAAGTTATCAAGCTCATTTTATGCACTGGGTAGATGAAAGGTTAATACCTAGCAAGAAAAGTTAATTTGGCTTAAACCTTTACTCTTGCATTTCCAGTTGATATTTTCTTTCCTCAAATCTAACACAAAATTATGGCCATATCATCATTACTTGTAATTCATAAGGATGATATTATTTTCAAAGTTTTAGAATTTTATTTTCTTATTTGAAATAATTAACCCAAACTTTGGACATCTATTTTTATTTTCACAGAAAGTTTAATTCATTAAATTTATTGGTACATTTTAGGTATACAATATGATGACATTCATCATTGGGAAGTTGTACCTTTACATGTTATATCTTGGTTCATAGCCACTTGATAGAGTTCCTGACTATTTTCATAGAGATTTTGGACTTTATGAAATTCCTAGCAATGCGGTTCTACCATGGACCACCTAAAGTGAGTGTACTCCACGTTTGTTATTTACTGGTTGCACCCAACTGCTGGCTTAGATTAGGAACAGAACTAAGAGCAAGGACCCTGGAACCAGACTACCTGAGTTTGAATTCTAGTCCTGGTACATCCTAGCTATGTAACTACCATGGGTATACGCAAGTCATTCTATTTGTGCCTCAATTTCCCATCTGATAATTGGATATAATGATAGCACTTACCTTATAAAGTCACTGAGAGAATGAAAACAGTTAATTCTTACAAAGCATTTAGAACAGTACGCGTTAATACTACATGAGTTTTATTTTTCAAAAAGATAGTAAGCTGGCAGTTAACTGACTCTCAAGTCTCTTTCATGTACATGGCTGCCAATCTGGTCTCCCCCTAGTTTAAACTTGTGACATTGATTTCTTTCTTCCAGACAAAATGTAAGGCTTTGCATTTAACCTGAATTTCCTCCTGGGGTGCTGGTTCAGCTGTCGCTCTCTGTAACCACAGGTCCTCACAGCAGAGGTGGAAAAGAGAAGGGAAAGAAGTCCCCTGCAAACTAAGCTTGCAGTCTGCGGTCATCAAGATTCGCCTGCATCTTAACATTGGCACCCAACCAAATATGAGTCTCTAATTACTTTTAAATGGAGAAGATAGTTAAAATTTGACAAGCATATAAACTTAACAGCTGACCTGCGGGCAAAATTACTACCAAGCTGATTTCTAACTGCCAGAAAATTAGCCCCGGAGGTTGTTGTACCCCAGTAAAATGAACTAAGGATCAGGACGATGTGACAGTTGTGAAGATTAAGCCGCTACGCCCACAGGCGGAACGAAGTGTCTGTCCGGTTAATGGATACAGACACAAAGCAGGGAAGCAAGCCATCCTCATGCATCCCTTGAATCCTGTTTGGCTGTTCTGACGTAGATGACAAGAAAAAGAATCAGTTAGGGGAACGTAAGGTGCGGAACTACAAAAATAAACTCGCTGTCCCTGACATCTGTGTTTACAAATGCGCTATGTTAAACAGCAGAGATTTCCCCTATGTTAGCCAATAACAACTTGGCGTCAGGTATGCTTTGTTTTTCCTTTATCCCTAATCATAAGGGCTCTCCTCACTATCTCCTTGCCTCTTGATTTTCTTTTATTTTCTCCATAAAGGAATCAACAGGGAACTGGCTGGGCAACTTCAGAAACATGACTTCTAACCAACTGCGCCGTTGTTTCGCTGCTGAAAGTGAGTGCTAGCTAGTCTTTAATGAAGTAGTCTCTCCAGGGCCCACGGTAGAGCTTCTCCCCCTTCCTAACCCAGAACAGGTTTGAATCAAAGAAATGGCACACACAGTGGCCAGATGTTTGGGGAGTAAGAAAAGGAGCTAAATTCACACAATTGTTCTGCCTTCTCGCTTTCCGCTGGTTCTTTCCTGTGGGCTGCAGGACACATTAGCAGAGAGCTCTGCTCTGATCTCGTCCACAGCCAGCCCGAGCCTGCACTTCGGTGAGAGCCCGCTAACAGTCTGCCTTCCTTTTCCTGTGCAGCTGCTGTTTGCAGAAGGACAAGATTTGAAAGTTGATTTATTTACCCTGTCTTTTTTTAATGAATGGATGATGTCTGTTTGTTGAAAAAATTAATAAACTCTATAATATGATTAGAATGTAACAGAAAAACATCCTTGCCTCACAGGTGGAAATCTAAAGTCTTTGGCTTTTGGAATGTTCACAATGGAACTGCCCCCATCAGACCAAAATCAGAACATGATCTTGGTCTTTAGAAACAAACAAACAAAAACAAAACAAAACACAACAGCTGATCAATTCTTGTCTTTTTCTCTACAGCCTTTGATTCATGAATGAAGACAATCACTTTCGCTTGTAGAAACTCATAGGCTCTGGTTCATATTTCTTAATTCTGTCTCTGTTGTCTGTGGAGACTTTGAGGGTGTTGATGTGGCACCACACTGTAGAGAGGAAGAGAATGTTTCAGAAAATGCCTCCTCCTGGGCTAGATTCTCTGTCCAAAAGCCAGAGGGTATGAGGCCCAAGAAAGAGTGTTGACTAAAATGAAAGGGGCAAGCCAGAGAAGATGTGCTTGTTTTCTTTAAAAAGTTTATTTTGAGTAATAACATGAACATACCAACCAAGACTGAAAGTTTTAAAAGAATATTCAGTGAAAAAAATAATTTTCTCCCATCCCTACTCCCTGTCAGCCATCAAGTTCCCACACCACAGGCAGCTTCTATCACATTTCGGGAGCACTTTCCCAGAGACATCCTACGTAGATATAAGCATTGATATTTGTATGTACTTCTTAGATATACAAATGGCAATGTACAATACACATTGTTTTGCACTTTCTTTTTTTTCACCTAACAATATACCAGACAAAGGTGTTTTTTCTGCCCACATAGCAATCAGGAGAGAAAAGTCATTCCTCAGTTCAATGATTTGCATCTGGTTCTGGCTTATTGTACTGACAACAAACAAGGTGCCAAGTCAAACTCTGCCTCCACCGGAGACACTCCCAGCCCAGAGAAATAGGAAGCATACTCAAAGCCTTAGACCTTTGAATAATAGGAGGAGTGGAGTGAATACAGGAGAAAGGGGAGGATGAATTAGGTTGAATAAAATGTACAGAACTGATAGTTGTAAAGTGAGACACTTGATGGTCTTGCAAATAAAAATCCATTGGTTCTTTTTTCTGCTTTAGTAAGTAGAACACAAATGCATTGTCCATCTTAGTATTATTTTGCTAGCTAAAGATCTCTAGGAGCAACCTGGCACCAATACTCTGGACACAATATGAAGGAAGTAGAAAGAGAGGAGCCTTTGGAATCAGGTAGACCTGGCTGTTAATACTGGAGTACAGCAATTATTAACTTTTAAACAAGTTAGTTAACCTCTTAGAGTCTTGATTTTCCTTTGTGTAAGATAGAAATATATACCTTAAAGAGGCTGTCACAATTTGTTTTAAAAACAAACAAGCCAATGTAGTAGTCTGTTGTCAGTGCCATAATGCTGCATAACAAACAATCCCCAACTCTCCATTCCTTGAACCAATGAACAATATGCCACATTCATACATCTGCTCATTGCGATCTGGCTGGGCTCAGCTGCTCTAGCCTGAGCTTGTCTGGTCTTCAGGCTTTGAGTAAGGTTCAGGCCTCTTCCCACACTCCGATCTCGGGTTAGAGGGCAGCAACTACCTGGGGGCATGCTCTTCTTAAGGCCGAAGGCACAAGCTTAAGAAGGCTGGCAGGAACTTACCATACTTCCTACAACCTCACAACAGGCATCTTGTCACTTCTTCTATATTCTGTTTTCCCCTGGCCAAAGCCACTGGAATAGGAGGAATATTTCTCCTGGAGCGAACTTCAGTAAAGGCAACCAGGGAAGAAAGAAGTGGAAACAATACATAGAGACATCCAGAAGGTTCACATAATATGAACTATTATCACTATAGTGTCAAGTGGGAAAGGTATAAGGGATGGCCTTGAATTTATGATCATTCTAAGAGTATACCCTAAAAAGAAAGGTTTTTTAAAAACACTTTTAAAAGTCAATCAGATTGTAATTTTATTCTTCTAATCAGAATTGGCACATATGATGCCTCTGAGTAAATTTAAAAACATGTCCCTCTAAGCAGATGGGCCCCCAGGGCCAACAGCATGGCAAGTACATAACAATGAGGGCCCCTTCCATGGGGCACGTGTGGCTCTCCACATAGCCCAGAAGGGAAGCAGCCCCTTAGCCAGGCACATTGTGCAGTGCACGATCTGCACACCATAGACAAAAGCACTGCTCCTAGATAGAAGGTGGCCTGGCAGTCTCATCTTGTATCTCGGTCTGATTCAATAAGGAACTTGGAATCATAGGTTCCCTTCTGCCTTCCAAGTTATGAACTAGGAAACAAAAGCTTTGGGGACACGCTAGCTCCTATTTCCCAGAACTACTCCTGCAGCATCTGCCATCTCCTGTCCAAACCCAGACCCAGGTGACCCCACAGTTCCCAGGCAGCCTAGTAGGACCTGGAACTGGGATTGCAGGGGAATGCACAGACTTAAACAACTTAATTTCTTTCATCCTGATTGACAGGATAAGGACAGAAGGGAAGAGGAGGGAATTCTAAAGCAGATTTCTAAGGCACTGACTTTATTAGCTTGTGGATAGAGAAGCAGCTCCTGGGGAGTGGGATAGGAGGTGGCAAACAAGAGAGATAGAGAGAGGCACCCCAGGGTGGGGTGTGAGTGGAAGACCCTTATGTCTGCACATAACAACCACTGCGAGAAAAGATGTGGAATTCAGTCCTGAATTGCTTATTTGGAAGATTAATTAGTAAGCCACTAGGAAGCAATGATTCCACTGAACAGAATATTAATTTTCCCCAAAAGTGATTTAGAATGTAGGCATAGAAGGGAGGGAGAAGGAGGCAGGAGATGGAAGGGAGAGGAAGCCTGGAGAATAGGGGATGAGAGAGGTCAGGAGGAAGGAGGGAGGCTCTGCTCCCCAGTGTCCAGCACAGGCCCTGCCCTGGAGAGGGTATCCATTCAGATCCACGCAAGCCTGGAGAGAGGCTCAAAGCCATGTAGTCTCAGTGTCGGTGACTTCATAAAAACATCCCCCAGAAACTAGAGCGGGACACCTCAAGTTGCCACCAACTAGTCCCGTATGGTATTGGGAGAACCACCACACACTCTGGCATAGCTCGCCTGTCCCCTCCCATTTCCTTTCTCATCATGCCAGATTTGCTTGCTGCTTTGCTTCACCACCCAAGGCAGGGCAAAGGCAAGCATCCCACTCCCTTGCCCTGTCACGCACTCTGTCTTCAGTTTTCCTGTTTACTTGCTTGTAAGAGTCTGTTAGACACTTCCTCTGAGGTTTGTCTGCAGTCTGACCTGTGAGTCTTTGAAACATGCTCACTCATGGTCCCTCACTGCGGTGACACCACGCGGCCTCCCTTAGCGAGGCACGGGCAGTAACCGCCTGTCTGGAGATACTGGCTGCCAGCCTCTTCATGCTGGGCTGTCTAGGTGGGGCCTCCTAGAAGATGCAGGGGCACGGAAGGGTAGTCCCAGTGTGAACTGTCCTTGTATTTTTTCCAGAAACAAAGCTCAATTCCCTCTCGCTTTCTACAGTGTGGTTGGGTTCAATCAGATCTAAAAACTTCCAAGCCTGCACCACCACTCCAATGAATGAGTCTCACCATTGGGCAGCCCACCCCTCTCCCCAGACCTTTCTAGACCCATTCAGGACTCAGCTGCCAGTGCAGAGATTCAACATTCTGGGGATGGCATGTTTATTTCGAAACAATCATGAGGCTTGATTTGATGCAGTGAAAGAAATTAGTGCTTGCTGAGTACGGCCTGGTTATTACTGCATTAATTCACCCAGATTACCAGCTGACATTAGCTGGGAGGCTCAGGTCAGGACATTTCAGTACGTTGGCTAAAAAGAGCCGCCTCCGTGATTGCAGGGCCTCCTCATTCTCTACCCAAAGCCAGATGATGGCTCCATATTTGGAATGACCTGCCAAGGGCATGTGGTGTTACTTTAGTGTTAGCTGGGAATGGATAAGCTGAGGTGTTGTTGGGCTGTGTCCTCTCAATCAGGTATTGCCCTGACACCCTTACAGACCCACTTTTCCCAAGCCCTGTTTCTAACCAGTGAATAACTCTTCAAAGGTAGAAATGATGATAACACACAAATATGGCCAAAACCTTCTCATGGATCATCAAACTGAATGAATCCACACTTTGTATAAGCAAAATATGTCTCACTGCCAGAAACAATGTATTAAACAAACAGAGCTATTTGCTCACTCTTGTGGGCTACATTGGGTCCTGCCAATATTCATAGGTTGGAATCCTAACCCTCAGGACCTCAGAATGAAACAATATTTGGAGAAAGGACCTTTAAAGAGGTGATTAAATTGTACTTTTTCAGGAGTCTCTAGAAAAACAGATCCAATAGGATACACACACACACACACACACACACACACACACTATAAGGAACTGCTTCACACAATTATGGAGACTGACAAGTTCCAAAGCCAAGGTTTT